ATACAGAGTAATTCATTGCCCATCAGTACATAAAACCTGAGAGAGTATATAACAAGCCCATGAGGTAGTTGTTGATGCTATGACAAGACCTCTCAAATGACCCTGAAGTAAAGCTTTAAAGGTCTACCTTCCAAAATCTGATCCTGCCAGCAGGCTAAGTAAACAGGGTCCTGCTGAAAGAGACATGAGTCACTCGCCACAACGCGTAGGAGTGTTAACAAGCCATCTATTTGCCTCCTCTTGCCGCTCGTTTAAGTCGCCGATGTTGCCCTTCATCGTCCATGAAGGCATCCTGAGCTCCCCTCACCTGAGTGGGAACAAATGTTTGCTCAGCGCCCTCCCTCCTTTTGGCTCGGCTGTTCGTGATGTCATCGTTCTCTGAAAGGCCACGCACCGCCGTCATGCAAGCGACAACCTCGTTGGATGTGGTAAATATTTGCCCGGCGGCAATTATAGCCGCGCCAAGTGTCCTCAGAGCAACAGCCTGCTGGGTAAACAGAAGGGAAATAAATGAGCAGTGTGCATCTGGCAGAGGCTGAAAGAAGCCACTGATGGGCGCTCAGAGCGATGACATGTACCTGTAGAAAAGGTCACCGAGGTCTTCAGCGGACACCTCGCTGTCATCTGCATGTGACAGCTGGGTCCAGGCTTCCCTTAAACCCAGAGGGAAGGTAGCCCGGCTGAGTGACCTTTTAAACAAGCAGGAGGCTGGCTTGTTATCTCCTGAGTCTGGTTGCTCTGAGAGATTTAATATGCCTACTGCTTTTCACATTTCAGCACATTTTCACTGGGCAGAAAATAGAAAATATGAAAAGGCATTAAAGCTGCTCTCAAGCCGGGCCAATAGAAAGACAATAAATCAGATAAACCAGATGAATCTTTTTAACCGATGCTACTGCGCTCCACTAAGCTCTCGTCTTTCATTGTCTGAATAGTCACGAGTCCCCAAAACCATTCAGCTGTCGTCTCTAAAAGTAATAATAAAACTATTTATATGTAGCGTGTGTTTAAACTAAGCTTTTAAAAACTCTCAGTACAATAAACTAATGAATAACCTCAGACATTTTATTAGCTGAAGGTTTGCCTGTTTTCAGTGTCGTCTTCCTGCCTTTCGATGGCATTCTTCTCTCCCCATTGGAGAGAACAATCTAACTCTCGTCCTCCACCTTCCCTGTCCTGATGTGTTTTTATTAACCTAACAATAACACTGGAGGTAGCCAACGATAACCACATCGTTATATGTCAAAAGAGCACAACTTCACTAGCCCTCCAAACAGTTTTTTGTCTTATTTAGTATCCAAAGTTACATTTTAGATTTTTAGAAATAGGCAGGTCTTTAGGTTTCTTTAGTATTAAAGTACACTGTAAAAAAAACAGGAACCCGTATTGGCTAAGTAGGCTGACATTTAATAATACCAAGGTTTAAGATGAACAAAAGAGCCCACAAAACAAAAACAAAGTGTTAAATTAACAGTAACCCTTTTCCTGCTGGCAGTATTGCTAGTTTTTGAGAGTAATAAGGGGCCCAGATTTGAAAACTTCAGATCTAAGTCATGCAGTAACAAATGGTTTACATCACTTGACTGTGTATGCTTTTAAGCAGATAAAACCTTAAAAATAATCAGTCCAGAGTAAGGAGAGCCAGAAGCAGCTGTTTATTCCTCTTCTGGTTTATTTCAGAGAGTATTTAAAGCCTGCAGTATACGTTTTCAGCTCTGACCCCAAAGGCCTCGCCGGGATGATGTCTGCTGTGGCGCGAGTGCCAACAGTGAACACCTTAAATCACCACGGGCTTGTTCAGATTGGACTCATAAGAACCATATGGACTACTGTTAGTCAGATGAATGGCATTCCTTTCCATACTAGGCAACTCTTTTTCCGTTCCCCTCTCTTTCCCTTTCTTCCACTTGAGTTACCTTTTTTCATAAATCTCTTTTACAAACCAGTTCCTCTGGAGCACTAATCCCATTCTGAGGTTACGTCTCCTACTGCTCATGCTCCGATAAATGTCTCAGGACGAGAGATGCTATTAGGTTATTGTGCTATAAAGTGACTCATGAGTGGATGCAGGGACTGAGGTCTTTCATGTCCCTGGGGACTCGGCCCTTTGCCAGGGAGCCGTGCGTATGGTTCCTATTTTCGAGCCCTGCTAATGAACCCTGTTTGTTCCAGTGTAGCGATAGCGTTGCGCGGGGGCAAAAGAGGAGTACTGGGCTCAGGGAAGGACATTCCCAGCATTCCTCCGTCTGTCTGACGCATCAAGGAGGTCGGCTGCTCTGCTGCTTTTAGGAGATGTGAATCAGCCTGAGGGTTTGAGAACGGGGGGATTAGGAGGTGTGAAGGAGCTGATTGCCTCTGACGGGAAAAGAGGAGGAAAAATGTGTTAAATAATTAACAGGGTTAAAAATGTCAAGGGCGTAGGTGAGGCCCGCAGCATGTGTTTGTATTTTGTTTCGGTTTTTTTTCCCAAGCAGTAATCGTGCCATTATTCCTAAGCCTGTCTACACCGCAGTGTAAAATATTTTAAAGGTGTATTAAATCCTACAGCACCAAATGCTTCAGTTTAAGAGTGTTGTTCATCAATACCAGTGACCCGGTGATTACTTCACCAGAGATTTCTGGATTTAGAAACTCACAGTCCTGCCAGCACTACGATAAAATTCCTTCTCCAATGCCATTTCGGCTATAAAACCATCTTCCATTCAGATGAAGTCCTTGCTAAAAACTCTCCCAAAGCACTGCTGAAGGTTGACCTATTTTTATTGCTTGACTGAATCACATTAGTTTTATGTTTTATTTAGTTTTTATTAGTTGAGCTCTAGTATTGTGGGATATGTGTTTTTTCCAAGTGAGCAGAGATATAACGATCTCTCATGTGTCAGTTGGTCTTGCTTCCATTGCCTAATTCTTCTGGTATAAGTAACTGTTACAGTGAAATGAAAAGCTTATATTACAACAACAAGTTGTTTGTGCAGCAACCTCCACTGCCTCCAGTACTAACCAGTCAAAATACATTTTTCCCTAGATAGCAGTGTTTACCAACCAGTCTCTATGGCCGGCGTTAATTCAAGCAACAAAAAAATCTAACTTCTATGGTTTGGTTTGTACATTTTTAATGGGACAAATTGCATTTCTCACTGTTTATATGAGCCAAAAATCAGTTTCATATGTTTAATAATTTTGTTTCCCCTCCTACAGTTTTTAAATAAGTAGCTATTTCAGGGTAACATTAGCTAGCGTTACTCTTTCATGTTATGTATCTCTATGAAAACTAAAGCAAAAAGTTGAAATCTTAACAAACAAAAAATAAACCCTTTTATAATGAAGTGTTGTGTCAAGACTTTCTTTTACGGTATTTTGAAGTAGCTTTAGGCTAAGGCTACTTACCGTAACTTTAGTGCCCCTAAAAACCTTTCCTTAGTATTTAATTTTGTTTTTAGTATTGTAAACTGAACAGCATGCTTCATGGGAATAAAAAGGGAAGTTTATGGATGAGAAACACAGCCTTGCTGAGTTTATTATATTCAAATACTTCTTGTTACATTTTTTTGATGTGGCATGAGTAAGCTAATTCAGGCTAATAAAAGCTAATATTAGCTGCTGGGGTTTTTTTTTCATAATCAGTAGTTTAACTTTAAGCTTTTAAAGAAAAACTATACAACAAAGGTACAAATAATAAAGCAGTTTCTCAATGTTTAGATAACCCATTGATCTGTTTAGTAGTTGCCTGTTTTACGTTAGTCCTCATTAGCAACCTTATCTGGTTTAGCTAGTACTGCAGGCTTATGTTAACTGTGTTTTTCAAGCTGTTTTTTAGGCCTGACTATTTCGGCTTCTAAACAAAGACACCGCTGTTTTAAAATTAGAAAGCTACATGATCAAACGTAGCCATTCGCAACTTCTTAAAATATATGACCTTAGTTGCTGTTATGGTATATTTCAGCACTTTTGTAACCATGTTAGGATTTTAATAAGGGAAACTGACTGAATTGGCTGTCATGTCATTTTACAATGGTGTAAAATCTATGTCACCTTTTTGTCTTTAGAAATCTGTTTTGGGCAGTTTGGGCAGTTTGCTGCTATTCTATAGACAATGGAAAATGGCCCCCAGTCATTTTCAATCCAGAGATACATCCGTGCCTGCAATGCTTTCAAAACAGCTGCCTAAGGAGATTTTTGCAGGGTTGTGTTTATAGCTTCATTCCCTGGGTCCTTTGTAAACAGCCTGGCACAGGGAGGATGTTGTTAGAAAATATCTGCCTTGACTGTAATCACTTACTATCCCTGGGTCATTCAGGGACTAGAAATGGAAAACAGGAAAAACAAATAAAAGTCGGCACACATGCATGTACAGACGCTTGAGAGTTGGGTGGCAGCAGGGCTGCTAGGTTGTGAGTCACAGCATTTGTCCTCTTACCCTGGACGACAACTGATTGTTTGTCTTCCTGCTGTTTTCGGACAGGTGGTGACCCCAACCAGAGTGGGACAGACCTACACTTACAGCCCAGGACAGCATAACCAGCAGGACCTCTATGACGTCCCACCCATCAGATCACAAGGGGTAGGTTCCTCATGCACCATAACACCAGGATCTTTTTTTTTTTTTAGCAACCAAAGAAGCTTTGATATAATCTGCCAAACAGTGAACCCAATAATACAGTGCACTCTATGACTTAGAATAAAGGAATTTGTTTAAAATTAACCAATATAGGTTCCTAAAACTCCTTAAAATTATTGTTTTTCAAAACCAAAAAAAACCATTAAACCCATTAATTTCCAGTAATGAGGTCATTTTCTAGTAATAGCTGTGAGGCATACGTTAAGGTTACAAGCTGTACTAAAAACACAGCTTGAAGTGTTTTTCCCCTCTCTTTTTTTCTAATCTTTGGTCTGTATGATGTCAGAGAGAGAGAATGTTATGGTTATCTCTGGTACCGAAACCACACCCACCTTCTGTTTGCAAATGTGGGTGGAGCTAAAGCTGCTGGTTTCAAAAAGAGGATGACCTGAGGGGCTGAGCCAAAGTACAGATAAAGTTATGAACAAGGATTATTTTGAACTGTGGCTCATGCAAAGCTACACTAGGAAACGCCAAGCATAAAAATAAGCTGGATAAATATCTTTAACACTATATTGCATGCATCTGAGAATGTACAAATATAATCTTTAGTTTACCTACACATTGATATCAATCGAATCTGTTAGCATGTTTTCACTGCATATCAAGCATCTTCGTTTTAAAAACAAGCCATCCAGGTGAGCTTTTGATGCAGCACACAGTGCCTGGGCAAATGCATTTCATTTCTCAAAACAAGAAAGCCAATTCTCTGATCTGCATCGTGCTATTCTGCCTACCACATTTCCTGTTCTGTGCAGAGATGAGAGAGGATTCTTCACACTTCATTTTCTCTCATGCTGTTGAAACCTGCAGTGCGGCAGTAGTGTTTGCACATTTTGAGAACTGTACTGTATTGTTTTAAAATGCTCAAATAGATATTTTTAGAATTACAGACGAGGTACAGTGTGAAAACAACTCGAGTTGCTTACAGAGCTGGAGTTACAGGAAGTCATCACCTGATTGTGCAGTTAGCCTCAATTTCACATTGCTTTGTAGTGAGTTTCAGCTTTGGTCTCTGTTCTCACCGTTTTCATAAACTCTTACCGCTCTTTAAGTTTTGTTCTCAGCCAAAACAGCCTTCTGTTTTTAGCCAAAAACCCACTGAAAAGTACTTCAAAACAGCTGACAGACAGGTGGAAACTAGCAAAATATGGAAGTGGAGCATTTAGCATCTGAAGGGCAGCTGGTGGAGACCAAAAATGGAGCAAAAAGAGAAAATACTGTGCAAAGAAAAACTCCAATCAGTGACCGTGTTGCTCTATAACTATTCACCATATCAAACGGACTTATCGTGCATTTTTTCCTGTCATATATACAAACTTTGTTGTGATGCTGGATGCTGACACTAAACGCAGCCGGAGATTCAAATAATGAGGCCAGCGTACGTACAAGTCAGAAAAGAAGCCCAGGCTTCAGCTGTCAGTGAGAACAGTTGTAACTAATGTGACCACCTCAGGCCAGCCAATCAAAAGCAAGTTGGCCTTACAGCCACCTTTGTGGTAAAGAACTCTCACTTTAGATAGGAGCGCTGCACCGAGGCACCTGTGCAAATAGAAATATGAAGCTTTTAACTTAGCAGTGACTTATTGTCACCTTTCACTGAGCACTAAATTTGATTTTATTTACTTTGTGTCACATTTGCTTCTTCATACATGTTCATATATATTTATTTTAATGCTTCCTAACTATTACAATCAAACTTCACTGAGTATTACCCCCAACTCTCCCTCAGCCTGGTTCAGGCGAAGTTTCTTCCTGTTAAAAGGAAGTTTTTCCTTCCCACTGTTGCCAACTATATAAAAAAAAAATGTAATGACTTTAGGGGCAATTTGGCGAGTAGTATTTTCCTCCGAGCCAATTTGGCACGTGGACTTGAGAAGTCTGCGATTGAACTGCGACCTTCTGATTACTAGACATCCCACATACGGCCAAACAGAAACTAATAGTGTGCTACAAAATCAGATCAAGTCAGCTACAGTCAAATAATATGAAGACCAAACTTTGTGTGATTGTTTTTCTGAAACACGTAGTGATCATTTCACTTCCCTCTTTCAGGTGTACGATATTCCACCTGGTCAGATGTTCCCTGGTCAGCAAGGCGGAGCCAGAAACCAAGGAGTCTATGATGTTCCCCCATCACCAATGGACCCTAGGTCACAAGGCATCTATGACATCCCTCCAACCTCTCAAGGGGTAAGAGAAACTTCCAGAAGCAAAATGAAAGGGCACATCAGTCAGCCACTCCATTTGTTTAAGCCACATGAAGCTGAATTAACGAGGCTGCGTATGTCCGGAAAATTTTATTTTTATGTTTATTGATACAGCTCCTAGAATTTCTCTTAATTGACTATATTAAATGAATAATACGTCAAATATCATATTTATTGCATTCCTGCGGCCAGTTTAAATGAAAGCCTCGCCTGCCAGGAGAGTTTAACCAAAACGGCTCCGTGTTTAAACTTGCCAGCAGGGGAAAAAAACAAAAAATCAAGGACAAGGACATAACTCTTCTTTTGCCAGACCCTCTAAGATTTCACCAGAGCTGACCAGGCAGCGCGCCACCAGTTTGTTTGTAATAACCTGAAATATGCTGGGACCTGTTATTTGCGTCGTTCCTAATTACAGTTTGGGCAGGCCTGTCTAGCTGTAAAGAGTGCGTTTGGAGGCTGATGGAAATCAGTTTTATTGCCCCCGTTGCGCTCCCATCGTGCTCCGTGCCATGTACGTCAGCGCACACTCTGCTGCGTCGAGCCCGAGGGAGGGTGAAAGCTTCGTTGCATTAGAGGAAGGAATCAAGAGGCTGAAAGTTTGAGGTTTCAAATATAGTATCTCCCCAAGCCAGAAGGTCTTTCACTTCCTCAATCTCTAACTGCAGGACTGCTGTGCAAACACACTGCATCCAGTAAAAACCCACTGAGGTGCATTTACAGTCCAAATTCTGTGTTTAGCACATTTTTTGAATGTCATAAACTCGAGTCTCCCGGGGGGAGGGGATTAAAAGAAAACGATCTCCTCTGCAGGAATCCAGGTTTCTAACTGCTAATCTTATGATGGTCGTGAATTTAAAACATGTCACTTTTCTGGTGAGTTCTTAACGAGCTGTGTTTTAGGAAGGGGAGCCTTCTTTGTCGATGACTTTCCAATCCCCGAAGACTAGTCGGCCCGAATGCGGGACCGAGCGCACATTTTAGTGCTGTGCCTTTAAACGGGACCTCAGAAGAGGCCAAAGCTGAACATTGTAATGTCATGTTAGGAAACCAGTACCGCAGCAGTGATAGTTCCTCACTTTGTTATGAGACTGCATGCACATGCAAAGAGTCAGTCAGTCAGTTTATGACTGTTTCTGTCAACTGTAGAGGCAAATGTTTGCTCACTCGTTGTGTGCTGCACTCTTTCACATTAAGTGGACTAAATGCGTCCAAGCCTTTAGTTTAGAAGAATTTGTTATATCCACATCTGGCTAAGCAGTCGTGTGCACACTCCAGCTCCAAGAATGCCTCAGAGGCCCCTTATTTTCAGAGCCCACGGTCGATGCTTCACAAAGCACGATTGATCCTAGTGCGATATAAGTGTTTACATTTTCAAGTTGAGAAAGCGTGACAGCACCTCTCAGGTGCGGATGGCGCGACGTGACTGCAGAAGGAGTGCAGAGGAGGTGTTTGTGTGCAGGAGGCGGAAAAAAAATGAGTCATATCGCAGGTGTTTCCACATCTGTTTAGGAGGGTAGCAGCAAGAGAGTGGGATGCACAGTTCTAATAGTGCAAATAAATGAATGTCTGAGATATGAAATGCTCTGTAGAGGTGCAGCAGAGCATTTTGTATGATGACGGGGATTTCACAACAAGGAAAAAAATAGTCCTGTGAGGCCACTGGTTAGGTGAAAGCTCCACTGTTTGATAATAATATACATGTTAACAAAAATAATAACAGTCTGATTACTGTCCTTGCCCACAGGTCTACTCAGTGCCTCCCTGCAGGACCAACTCTGCCCAGCAGGAGGGGAACTACGACTTCCCGCAGCCCCTCAAGAGCAAACAGGAAGGCATCTACGACGTACCCCCACCTGTCCTCGCCAAGCCCGCCCAGAGCTCGCAGTCACATTACGACTTCCCACCGAACGTGGAGCCTCCGGCTCATCAGCCGCACCTGAACACCAACGGCAATGAAGGCATTTACGATGTGCCACCGCCTGCCTTTCATTCAGGGGCGGGGTCTCGCAACGACGTGTACGACATCCCGCGGGTCATGCAGACCTCCCAGCACAGAAGCTCGCCCGCCGACAGAGACGGCAGCAAAGGCATCTACGACATCCCCGCTCAGGATGCTCGCGCAGTAGCGGACGTGACGGACGGCGTGAACCGCTTGTCGTTCTCCAGCACGGGCAGCACGCGCAGTAGCATGTCCACCTCCTCGTCCTCCACTGGCTCCAGCTCTGAGGGCCGCCTCGCTCTGGATGTGGACACCGCCATCCAGAAGCTGTACCGCCTTCAGCAAGCAGTGGACAGCTCAGTCGGGAATTTGCATTCAATGGCAGCTTCCCCTCACTGGAGGACTTTTCCTTTCATGGAACGCCACGCCAACGACGTCCGCACAGTTCTGGACAGAGTCCGGGCCGGTCTGGGAGACTTCATTGTGTTTGGCAGAGGTGCCGCGGTGAACGCTACGTCTCTGTCAGACAACAGTCTGCACAGTAAGCTTCGAAGGCAGCTGGGACGCCTGGAGGACTCACAGCAGATCCTTCTGCAGATCTACCAAGCTCTGGAAAACTGCAGCTGGGCGCTTAACACCCTGGCCTCGTCTGGAAGGCACCACAACAAGACCGACGACCTGGACCGCTTCGTCATGGTCTCCAGGACTGTTCCCGACGACGCCAAGCAGCTGGCCTCCACGATAGGCAGCAGCGCCGAGCTGCTGTTCAGGCGGACGCATGTGGACGGATCTTTCTCTGTGGGCAGCACGCCTGACGAGAACGTGATCCACCCGCTCACCTCCCCCTCGTCGGACAACGACAACAACGGGGGCCAGACCAAACCTTTCCCCGTGCCCTCGAACCCAGACAAGGACAACATGAACAATAGCGAGAAGTGCGTGAAAAGCTGGATGGAGGACTACGATTATGTACATTTGCAGGTAAACAATTAAATCCACAGTTAGTCGAGTTATTTACTTTAAGTGACTTTACCCAACAGATAAGAATTTATGTGTCGTGTATCAAAGATCAGACCTACGTGAGTCTGGTTTCTCACCCTGTTTAAAACATTTTTTTACCTCCCTTCAGGGCAAAGAAGACTTTGAACGGCAGCAGAAGGAGCTGTTGGAGAAAGAAAACATAATCAAGCAGAGTCAAGTTCAGCTGGGTCAGGAACAGGTGAGGCTTTGTGTTTGTTTGGGCCTCACAGGTGGAGCGCACACTGTGCGGGGGAGTCAAATACCTCACAGTCTTAAACAAAACAGATGATAACACTGAGCGATTAGGGGCCCTTCGAGGTTCTTACGAAGGCCTCTGCAGACCTCGGCGCTCAGATCTGATTCTAGCATCATTCTCTCGATGGAGGCCAGCGTCAGATTACAAGGTGGAGCGGTCACGGCCCTGAAGTGACCCACATGTGCAAAAATATATAAAACAAATGCTGCCGTACAAATGTAAACATGGAGTCTAGAGTTTTAGGTTTATTTTATTTATCTCGTGGTGCTATTTTCATACGAAGGCGTTTGTGGATGTGGAGTTGCAGCCAGCAGTGGTGGGATTGTTGGTGTGAAACTGATTTCTTCTACATTTTTAGGATGAAATGTAAAGGGTGGCTGTTTCATTTTGGTCATTTAATTTCTAATTTCTTCGAAGTAACAGCGTTTTCCAGTAAATTTAACATTAAACATTTTCTCAGAGACTCAGTTTGATACTTTTAAGACAGCAAAAGTTTGCTGTTAAAAAGGAGAAAAGCCATAAAATGCTTTGCAAAAAGGAAAGTGTTTTTATGTTGATTTTTCTGCTTAAATTTACATATTTATAAAACGCAATTTGGCCTTGTGACCCTGAACTGGAGGATAAGTGGTTAAGAAAATGGATAAGCCAAATGGGAAACATGTTTGCTTTGAAATGAAATGAACAATCAGTGTGCAATCAAAGCTTAGACACGCGTCCTTCCTCCAAAACGTGTTTATACTTCCCTCTGTCAGGTTAATAAAGGGAACTCTGTTGATCTTTTTCTGCCCCCATTTTTAATCTGTGGGTTAAACCTGATGTTTTTTTAAATGTTCACTTCAAATATTTTCCATTATAAATAATTATGTGTATTTAAAGCTAAACCTTTGCCCTTTGACCTCACATCTGTACTGCTTCTACAGATCAATCAGTTCAAGAAGCTGGAGCAGGAAGTGAGCAAACCCGTGGAGAACGACATCACGCAGTGGATTTCACACCAACACTCGGCGCCGCCCTCAGACTCCTCGTCCTCCTCCACCTCCCTCTCCCCGTCCGCCCACCTGTGCGCTCGGGACCGCCAGCTGCTCAGCTTCTACTCGGAGCAGTGCGAGCAGCACTTCGTCACGCTCCTCAGCGCCGTGGACGCCTTCTTCGGCTGCGTCAGCGCCGGCCAGCCCCCCCGCATCTTCGTGGCACACAGCAAGTTCGTGATCCTCAGCGCCCACAAACTGGTCTTCATCGGGGACACGCTGTCCCGGCAGGCCTCGGTGCCTGAGGTGGCAAACAGGGTGATGAACTCGAGCAACGTGCTGTGCGACCTGTTAAAGACGGTGGTGTGCGCGACTAAAACGGCCGCCCTGAACTACCCGAACACAGCCGCCATCCAGGAGATGGTGGACAGAGTCACCGACCTGTCGCACCACGCTCAGCAGTTTAAAGAACAGTTGCTGCAGATGGCTAATTTGTGATTTTCACCCTCATGGCTCCTGCACATCACTCCGTTTGTACATCTGCCATAAAAATATATATATATATATATTTGCAGTATATGTATGTCGCTCTCCATCTTTAAGCCCGTTTAAGATGTTGTAAATAGTCTGTGTTCTGTAAATATTTGCTCTATTTTTATGTACATTGTTCTATATTATGATATGGACGCATATATAGATGCAGTACTGGTGCCTCTGTAGGAACATGTGGACATTTTTCATAACATTCCCATTGCATATTATGAAGCACCTTATGAGATGTCCTGTTATTTCATTTATAACTGTAGAGTGTCGTTTCTGTGTCTTCCTGCTGGATGTGACAGTTAAAAGTTCCTTGTAAATCAAGTCGGTGTCCGTGTGTGTGTGTCCATGTGTGTGTGTGTGTGGAGCTCTCCACAAAGTAAAGGACTGTTCTTCACCACAGGGGTTTGTCATCCTTATGTCGTCCAAGAAGTGAAGCAGTCAGAGGGTTTGGATGATAAATAGTGATATTTTCTTAAAAATATATATATATATTTTCATGTCAAACATGATATTTGTTGCAAAGATGATAAGATTTGTATGTGAGCATAGAAAAAACTTTCAGGTGTTTACTGTGTCCATGTATTGATCAATAGACACCACTGGCTCCAGTTTTACGCCAAGCTGCTTAAAAATATTACAGTACAATACATCTCATGGTCTCCGTCGGCTGATGGTAATAGATGGTATGCACACATTTAGTTTAAAATTCCTAAGGTCCCGGGAGAGGACGCGGCTCCTGCATCTTTGGGGTTGGCGTGCGGTGTAAAAACCACAGCAAATCAAACATGCGGCGCGACCTGCTGTGGTGACCGCTTGTGAATAAGAAAGCAGCTGAAGGCGGCTTTTTCATTTCAAAGGTCAGAAGTGAAATTTACAACATAAATCCTGTTTGCTGAGCTCCTCTTGGGCTTTCGGCCACATCTCACTGTCTTTCTCAGCTGATTGCTTGATTCAAAGTCTTACAGAGGAATACCAGATAGTTAAGAAACTATCCAGTCACATTCCCCCGAAGACATTCGTGCATAGACATAATTTTACCTGCTCCATATTCCATATAAACAGTTTGTGGATCTGTTGAGCCTTTCCTTACTCTCTGTCACATATGCACTGCTACATTTGTGGAAGTTCATATTAAACATGGTCAGAGTTTGCACAATCCCTGTGAGCCAAAAGCTCCGCCTTCCCACTGATCTAAAAATTTTATACTATTGACTCTATATGACATCTGAAAGAGGGGATATCCCAAATATGGCCATATAATGCACACAAGCACCACCCACCTGCTGTTCAGACCTCCTGCCAGTAGAACTCTGGCTTTAAAGGGGGAGGAGCTTAAACAGTGTCTTTCAGTCAGGATTATTTCTAATTGTGAATTATGCAAAGCTACACTAGTATAGCCCAATACTAGAAAAACAAAACATCCACATTAACTGTCAACTACAGTGTATGTTGACTTTTTCCAAGGCTTTCGGTTGTGTTTCATGGTCTATATCTGCAGCACTGAAGGTCATGTCCTTGTCTAAAGGTGGCCAAAAGTGCCAAAACAACTGCCGGTGCACCTTGGTGTCATGCACCTCTTGATTTTTGTAAGCCAGCAAGCATAGCGGCACTAAGTCTGGCACTAATATCAGCACAAGAGCTCAGACATTCACAGGAGATACGGAGGAAAACTGATTTCTTTGCTTCTGGTTTCAACTGGTTTTACTCCTCATTGAGTGCTGATGCAGAGGTTTTGTCTGAGTGGCGACACATTTCTGCCGTTCTGCAGCAAGCCCAGCTAGTGGTGATGTCATAGGTGGTGTGCAACAACCCTGAAAAAAGGCATTATTGTTGAAACTACTGTTTCAAACTGCCTCTCGTAGTCTTCATCAGACTGATGGGGAGCAAACACTAACAGAAGGATCTTAAGGTGTAGATTAATCATTCCAGGATCTAGACTGAGCGCTTAGATGAAGGGTTCATTCATCCGAAGCGTGACTCAGCGTTTAAGTAATATAAAAATCTCACCTTAGGTTATTGTTCTGGTTGATTTTTTATCCAATCGCATGCTTGTCTCCTCGTTAAGTCATATCTGATCACATTAAACACAGAGCTGAGAGGATTTCATTGAGCAGGACTGGGCAGGTGGAGAAGGAGCCAAACTATTCTTCACTTTGCTTGTAGCACATTAGACGTGACACAAAGAGTAATGAGGGTGAGTAGAGGACAAGACTCTGCTACAGATGTTGTGCGGGCCGTGAGAATCGTCTCTCTGAGCCACCGGCTAATCTGCAGCACATTTCTCTGCTTCAAGGTGCAGTGAAGTGATCAGATAAACGGCAGAGCTGAAAACAGCCTCTGTTTTCTCCTCATCTCCTCTTCGCTGTGTTTCATTATAGTCTGAGTGACTATAACCGCTCCCTGAGGGGTAGCTGCTCTATAGATAGATGGATAGATGGAACTGCGTAACGGCGAGATGTCCGTGAGCACAGCGAGACTCCCGCCTCCCCCTTCAGCTTCCAATCTCAGAATCTCATTAAAAAATCCTCGCTGCTCTCACAGACTGGCACTCACAGGCAATCTCCCTGTTTTTATTATTCACTGCATTCCTCTCTGCGCTCTCCAGGGAGAGGAGAATGACTTTTAAAAAGGTTCCCGTTTTGCAGGCAGGGTGCAATGAGTCTGTCCACAGCAGAGATGTGCTCTCTGTTAATCTGCCCCACAAAGGCAGGGGCTTAAAGTTTTTAGCCAGACTGGAAAAAGAGAAGCTGTTTTAGTCCGACTATTTGAACTTGAAAAATAAATCCATGCTGAAAAGGTCAAAAACATTTCACCTGAAGCACAGCGGTGGCTGTCCTTAGATCCAAAAATATATGACTCTGCAAATCTGAATGTTTGATCATAAATCGTGTAGAAAACTTGATTTTCAAGCTCATGTGCACCCCTGAGCTTTATAACATCTAAAAATATCTGACATACTAAGGTTCAAATGCAAAGTAAAACACAAAATTAGGCAATTATAATTCAGGCCTGAATCCACACACTGAGACAAAAGTCTAAAATAGAAACAAAAGGAAAACAGAGACGCTAACAAATCAAAACTGAAGAAAACCAAGGAATGGACGGAAGCCTACAGGCAAGAGCAACAAGATTATTTGACTGGAAACAAGGGAACGCTCAGGAGTAAATATATCCCAAGCGGACGCAGGAGAGCAGAGAGGGAACGGGTGTGGAAGAAGGCACAGGTGGGACAGACGATTACCAAAGAGAGCCAACAAAGCGAGGAAGTAAAACTCACAGGAACGCACAAAGACCACAATCTAACCTAAGTATTTATACTTGTTGCCTTTACTACTTTAGTAATACCACAAAAGTTAACTATAAACTATTGTTTACCTGCATAAGAAAAGACACTTTATGTCTGTTGATTTATCAATTGTATTTTTATAAAGTGAAATCAATAAACAAGTGAAAGCCAAGTCAGAAACTTGAGCTCTTTATCCTGCTGCCGAAACTGTTCCCCGAGCAGATTTTGCGTCTCATGCCTTCCGGTATCTGTAGTGGCCAGCAGGGGGCGATTCATCTGGTTACAAAAATAAAGAGGTGGTGGCTACATCTATCTTTGATATAAAGTCCATTGTTATTTAGTCATATTTGGAG